GGCATAACAATGCACACAACTATCATATCAAGAAGACTACCAGACAGCAGAGTAAGAAAAGAACCTAGGACTTAAGATTCACCAGTCGAACAAATCCACAAGGGCTGTGACGAGGGTTCGAACCTACGTCCGAGAGGATCCCAGACGCTGCCTTATTCGACTGAGCTACAACATGGTTAAAAGAATTGCAACCGGGAAATCATCCTAATTTACCACGGTTCTTGCAGTTTCTCCAAGACACAAACCAGGGTTTTAGGCAATACCCCCATGCACCTGAGCTATGTCAATAGGCTGTTCTACCTCTTCCGTCCTTACGTCATTCATTGGGGGAATTGTGTAAAACCCTGGTTTGTGTCTCGGAGAGACTGCAGGAACCGTGGTAAATTAGGATGATTTCCCGGTTGCCAATTCTTTTAACCATGTTGTATCTCAGTTGATTAAGGCAACGTCTGGGATCCTCTCGGACGTAGGTTCGAACCCTCGTCACAGCCCTTGTGGATTTGTTCATTTGATGCATCACGCTATTGTGATTTCTGTGTGTAATTCACCAGTCATTGAAGGTTGCATAACAGGTAGGAAACTGCAGTAAAAAAAAAAGAAAAACATAAATGCCAGGACATTACTTCACTTTAAAAATCAACTGGAAAAAATCCTCATGAACAATGTACCACTGACAAGCCAATGGCTTCCTGTCTCTGTCCAGGCCACTAAGGATGGTGGCCCTCAGGTAAAGGTTATTGATTTATGGAACATTTAATTATCGACGTGGTGGGTAGCGATGGTTTACGTATGATGAGTGAGTGACCCCATGTGACGTGGTGGGCAGAGATGGTTGATGTATGTTGAGTGAGTGCCCACAGGTGACGTGGTGGGCAGCGATGGTTGACGTATGATGAGTGAGTGACCACAGGTGACGTGGTGGGCAGCTATGGTTGATGTATGATGAGTGAGTGACCACAGGTGACGTGGTGAGCAGCGATGGTTGATGTATGATGAGTGAGTGACCACAGGTGACGTGGTGGGCAGCTATGGTTGATGTATGATGAGTGAGTGACCACAGGTGACGTGGTGGGCAGCGATGGTTGATGTATGATGAGTGAGTGACCACAGGTGACGTGGTGGGCAGCGATGGTTGACGTATGATGAGTGAGTGACCACGGGTGACGTGATGGGCAGCGATGGTTGACGTATGATGAGGGAGTAACCATGTCTGTTGAGAGATGATGCCATAATAAGGTATTGTATCAATATATAAGGACATTCAAGCACAATAGGAGCGTTAGTGTTGCCTCTGAACACCATATGTATATGACTTCAGCTGAACGGGAAATCTAGAAACAATCGTCGTCAAACAGGGAATTTATGGTAACTTTTTATGGAATATCCAAACACATGAACCAGGGTGAAGGTCGTGAGAGCAGTGGTGGAAAGTTTTACAGAGACGCATAATCAATGCTGAGTCCCAATTATTTATTCGTTTAGCTACACTCGCAATTAGTTGTTTACGAAGTTTTGTTACAGAATTTGTTTGTGATATGCATCAACAACTTGTACTTACAGCTTTGAGTTAGTTTATTTGGATCGCTATAGATATATTACGTTATTGTGATTTCATTGTGTATTAGTTACTTGTTATTATAGCCCAATAAACACGAAAATCCGTCATGCATGACAATTAACCCTCGCAGCTGCAGTATGGTTCATAACTCGCTCAGGAGCTGAATAAACATTTGTTTAGATATAAACAAGTTACAGAAATTATATCTAGGTAGAGTTTTTAAACATACTTTCACAATGGTCTCACGCACTAAAAATTGTCTTCGTTACATGCCTCTAAGTATAAACAAATGAATTGTGATCAAGTTACAGGGCTAGTCTACTATTTACAATATCAATGTAGTTAATATTACAGAATGTAACTGGCTTAGCTAAATGAATTGTGGGGTTCAGTCTCTGAGCCCATTATATGTGCCTCTGTAACCCTTAATCCACTACCGCCCACAATATGGGTATGGGGTGCATAATAAATGACCTAAACTAAACTAACTATAGGCAGTGAGACTTTATGCACAATACATGTACTGTAGTATCTCTACAGTAGGCAAACTTGGGACACTGTCTTGGATTTTGGGTAATATATCATTCCGGATTCAAGAGTTAGAAATTTCTAACTAGTGTGTCTGCCTAGTTTGTGTATTAAGTTGTCTCTATAAATCCTTGGACTTTTGTTTACATTTACTTTGGGCGCGTGAATAGTTTTTCAGGTGCAGTTTAAATTTAGTGAAGTCAACGACACGTGGTGGAAATTTCCAGAGGTAGGCCTCCTAATTATATCCAAGCTTAAGCCTAACTATATAGTAACGTCTATATAGACATCGATGACTTTTGGCCTAATTGAAAGACTAATATATGAAGATATATGGCTCTCCCTGCATAATTGTATGATGATATATAAAAGAATAAGTAAGGTTTTCTTTTGTTTAGTCTATTCAATTTTAATTGTTGGAGTATTCTGGGTATATAAGCTCTCAGGCTGTGCATGAGTTAGAATACCCAAGTTTACACGAGCTTAATTCCTATTTAAGAATATATATACTTTGAGAAATTCATCAGTTCTGTCAAGCCATGAGAGGCCAATAGAGAATGGGTTCCATAGATAAAGCAATGTAGTGAAAGGACAGTTTGCCGGGGGAGGTGGGATAGGTCGAGTTAAAGGCTGGCTGGCCGGGAGGGTCACAGCTACTTCACATTCCTAAGTGACCTTTTTGGTACCTGTATAACCATAGCACTACTCCGATAATTAAGGTCTAATATACTGCCATAATCTACTAAGACATTAAGCATTCCAAAACATTACAATCATAGAGTGACAAAATCACAAGAAACTGTAACCAAATGTTACAAAATCAGAACGTCACCAAGCGCACGCTGCTGAAGTCACGAACGTCATCAAGCGCACGCTGCTGAAGTCACGAACGTCATCAAGCGCACGCTGCTGAAGTCACGAACGTCACCAAGTGCACGCTGCTGAAGTTACGAACGTCACCAAGCGCACGCTGCTGAAAGCACGAATGTGAACCGTGACGTTTGGGCTTATGGTATACCCCTCTGGATAGTCGTCTAGAGTGAGCTAACTATACTCCATTGGAAATATGTAGTTATAACTGAAATTATCCCTATGGATAGTTGCAGAGTTACTCTAGTGCTCTGTACCAATCTGGATAGTTAAGTCGTTATAGCTCTCTAACCCTATAAAGCTTTTGGTACTTGTACAATTATAGTACTCTAATACTATAGTTCTCTATTAGCCACATATATAGTGCTTTATATACCTCTGATCCCCGGAGAGCGAGCCCAACACCTCTTCCTCCTTGTGGTGCTCCCTGGTGCAAACAGTAATGAAAGGCAACGCCAATATATATTTATAACACACACACATACGGATACAAAATACATATAGTGTACATAGCGCTGAATGACCTAAACGGTTCTATAGTAACTATAGCCTTAGTACTAAATCCCAACTTTACATACACGTTCTTAGAAAGTCAAGCAGTTATAGTGCTCTAGCTCTATCCGGGTAGTGTTTAAGCCTTTTTTTTCTAGTTCTGTACTTTTCACGAGGCGCATAATTATAGAGCTCCATCTCTCGGTAGACATGTAGTTGAATTCACATTGTCAGGGGAATGAAGCCTATTATTTTTTTTTTAGTTTAGTTCATTTATTATGCACCCCATACCCATCTTGTGGGCGGTAGTGGAAAGGGTTACAGAGGCACATAATGGGCTCAGGGACTGAACCCCACCATTCATTTAACTAAGCAAGTTACAATCTTGAGCTAGTTACAAAATTCAGTATAAGTCGTCACATCAACAATGGGTTCGAGATCGACCACAAGTACAGTTTCATCGAGGTCCATATGTCTATAACTCTCCTAGGGTTACTTAGTTATCGGGATCTAATTCTATACTCCGAAGCTCATTAGAGCCCAACAGACTTCTCTAGAGCTCACGAGAGCCGGCCGCAATCCTTGCGATCTTCTCGGAGTCAATAAATGCTTTCCGAAGACAATGATAGCCTATAACAGCTCCTTGGAGCCAATAAGATTAGTTTTTTTTAGATTTTTTATTCATTCAAGGGCTCCTTAGAGTCAATAAGAGCTCCGTGGAGCCAATGAGAGCTCTCTGAAGCCAATGAGAACTCCTTGGAGCCATTGAGAGCTCTCTGGAGCCAACAAGAGCTCCCAAATGTCAATGAGAATTCCCTGGAGCCAATGAGAGCTCCGTGGAGCCAATGGGAACTCCCTGGATCCAATGAAAGCTCCCTGAAGCAAATGAGAACTCCCAGAATTTATCAATACTAATAATTCGATTTGTAGGGGAGAGGAAGCCTGTGTATAAATATACCTTAGACTTGTTTCGAGGTTAACCCCCCTCCCTCCCCATCCAAACGTCAAATTATATACTGACCTTCTCAAGGATGCAACCTCACAACAGTTGCAAACTCCCGGGTAGGTGAACAGAAGCATTAGACGAAATGAAACGTGCCCAACCATTTCTGTTCTGGTCGGGACACGAACGCGGAATCCCAAGGGGCTCATATATAATAGCTTCTTAATTGGAGCCCCTTACAGCACCCTGGAGCCCAACAAAGCTTCCCGGGGGGTACATGATATCTCAGAGTCCATCAGAGATCCTCCCAGAGTCCGTCAGAACTCCCTGGAGTCCATGAGAGCTCCCTGGAATCCACGAGAGCTCCCTGGAGTCCACGAGAGCTCCCTGGAGTCCACGAGAGCTCCCTGGAGTCCACGAGAGCTCCCTGGAGTCCACGATAGCCCCATCACAGCTCCTTGTACTCCACGAAAGCCCATCAGTGGTTCCCCAGCGTCTCCTGAGAGCCCGCAGGGAGCTCCCCGGAGCCCCATCATGAGCGTTGAGAGAAAGGGTGGTGAGCGATGCTCAGCTGTCGTCGAAGCGCATGAGCAGCGGCTGAGGTCCCGGGGCTCCGTCTCCCTCAGACGTGTGTTGTGAGGCCGGTGATGCGCTACGCCTTTATTCTCATCTCTCTAGGACTGGTTTTCCCACGGTTTTTTTTTTTCGTTGTTACTCCACAGGTTATTGTTAAAAGTGAGCACCGGTGCATCGGCTGTTGTTGCTGAGTGGGCGCCGTCCACTGCTTCAGGTAAGCCAGGAGATATGTCACCTGGAGTCGCCAGGAGGGTGTTTTTTTTTTAAGAGGGGCAGCTCGGTGGGGTGTGTGTGTGTGTGTGTGTGTGTTTGGCTCCTGCAGGTGGACAGGGCTACTGGGGGTGTCCTTGGAGAGAGTATTATTACTGGGGTGTCCGTGGCGAGTGCAGGACTACTGGGTGTCCATGGTGAAGGAAAGGCTACTGTTGTTTGTTCAGAGAGGACAGGGCTACTGTTTATTCTGGGACGGCAGGGCTACTGTTTGTTCAAAGAGGGTAGGGCTACTGTTTATTCTGGGACGGCAGGGCTACTGTTTATTCTGGGACGGCAGGGCTACTGTTTATTCTGGGACGGCAGGGCTACTGTTTATTCTGGGACGGTAGGTCTACTGTTTGTTCAGAGAGGACAGGGCTAGTGTTTATTCTGGGACGGCAGGGTTACTGTTTGTTCAGAGAGGACAGGGCTACTGTTTATTCTGGGACGGCAGGGTTACTGTTTGTTCAGAGAGGACAGGGCTACTGTTTATTCTGGGACGGCACGGGCTACTGTTTGTTCAGAGAGGGTAGGGCTACTGTTTATTCTGGGACGGCAGGGTTACTGTTTGTTCAGAGAGGGTAGGGGTTACTGTTTATTCTGGGACGGCAGGGCTACTGTTTGTTCATAGAGGACAGGGCTACTGTTTGTTCATAGAGGACAGGGCTACTGTTTGTTCATAGAGGACAGGGCTACTGTTTATTCTGGGACGGCAGGGCTACTGTTTGTTTAGAGAGGGTAGGGCTACTGTTTATTCTGGGACGGCAGGGCTACTGTTTGTTCAGAGAGGACAGGGCTACTGTTTATTCTGGGACGGCAGGGCTACTGTTTGTTCAGAGAGGACAGGGCTACTGTTTATTCTGGGACGGCAGGGCTACTGTTTGTCTGTTCAGAGAGGACACGGCTACTGTTTATTCTGGGACAGCAGGGGCTACTGTTTGTTCAGAGAAGGCTTGGCTACTGGGTGTCCATGGGTATGGCAGGGCTACAAGAGTGACCAGGAATGAATTGGTATCCCCTCGTAAGCTATCACTATCACAATTTTCACTAACAGCCACAAATATCACAACCACGCAGGCATACAGCCACCTATTTTACTTAACATTCACACAATCACCAATTTCAGGCTGGAAAAGCTCATCAAAGCAAATGGGGGGACCTACGACAAGTCGCCAGCTTCCTGTCCCCGTCGTGGCCACTAGTGTTAGTGGCTCTCAGGTAAACTCGGGGAAATTTAATTACCACACACATCCACGTTTTGAAATTAAGTTCCGATTGTTTTTTTGGTTCATGGTAGTCATCCCGCGAGGAATAGAGATCCATTTTGGACACGAGCCAAAGCTGTGGTAGCTCTGGGTGGTAGGACGGCAAGGAGAGGCACGCATAGAGAATATCAGGCACGGTCTCTCACATGCACACATGCCAACCCCCTTCATCGCATTTTGGCGTATAAATCCATTAAAGGCCAAAAACTCATCCACTGAAAATCATAGCGGCTCGCAAAATTGACGTGATGGGGCGTTTTCTATTCGTGGATCCTTGGTTAGGTTAGGTTAGGTTCGGGCAGTTTAGTACATCAGTTTAGTGGTGTTATGAACGCACGATAGGACCGCCGCGCGCGCGCGCACGTACACACACACATACACACACACACACACACACACACACACACACACACACACACACACACACACACACACACACACACACACACACACACACACACACACACACACACACACACACGAAGGTGGAATAGGTTGATAAATAGGTGGGTGCGTGATGATTGTGGAGTCTTCTCTTGAGATATGACATGTGGATGGAACATAAAGTGGATTGAAGGAGAGATAAGATAACTGAATGAGTTATATAAGATGTATAATGAAAGGGTAGATAAAGGAGACAAGATGATACGGACAATAGAGGAATTATATGTATATATATCAAACCATCCTCCTAAAATTAAAATACTTATAGTAACTGTTTAGTCGAAAATACAGATATGTAGTGATGGACAACTAGAAAAGTAAACTTTTATATTACTGAATCTGGACAAACTAGAAACTTATTTTATCAGCAAGATAAATATAAGACCTAACCTAACCTCTCCTGGCAATCCTAGATCTATTACGCACTATCTTAGGCCTAGTATAGTACATATATATATATATATATATATATATATATATATATATATATATATATATATATATATATATATATATATATATATATAAAGAGAGAGTATAAAAAAGAAGGGTAAAGACAAGTGTGTGTGGGGGGGGGGGGGGTGAAGAGAAAGTCGGGTTGGGAGAGAGAGATGTACGTAGCTTAGGATTGTCATTCTCGACTTATTAGCCAAGCTGGAATTGGTCAGTGTACTTATTGTCTCAGGGGCTCTCCCCCATCGTCATGCATCGACCCCTATCCTCATGCACCCCTCCCCACTCTCATGCTTCCTCCCCCCACCATTCTGCTTCCCCTCCCCCCATTCATGCACCGTTGTCCGTTATCATGTTGACTCTTCCTCTCTCTCCCATCTCCTCTTGTGTACTATTTCGTGGACTGGAGAAGTGGGTGATTACGGTCCTCGAGTGTTTTTTTTTTATTTACACTTAGCCTAATTTATTGTTGCTTTAGGAGCTAAGAGTAACAATACCCTTCTAACACATTTTTAAGAAACTGGAAAGTGATTGTCTCGTATGAACGAGCTTCGAGAGGGGAACAACTGTAAACCGGCTACATAAATACCACATGCAATATTAGATGGATGGGGGGTAAATGTGCGTGCATTAAATTTACAGAATTTTCTGAAAAAAAATTCTGTAAAAGAATTCATTTTCTGAAAATCACTACAGGCTACTCTATAATGGTGAGTGAGTAGTGAGTATTTTGTATTTAATTTTTACCTCTTTCATAACGTATTAAATCTGGTAAAAAAAATATAAATATATTATTTACGTGGACTTTTTCCGGACACAAGTTGATGCAAGCAGAGTGCTGGAGCGATGTTTAGAACCATGCAAGCAGCTTTCGTATTGACCCCAGGCTGTCTGAGATTGCCGAGAAGCTCAGGCCTCTGTCTGTGCTTCTCACAACCAACCCTGGACAGAGAAAGGCGGTCAGGGTATGTCTCCTTCAGCGTGGGAGGCCATCAAAGCACTTCTATCATCATACTAGAGAATACAATGTAAATATCAGAGGCCCATGACTTTTCATTCCCCTTTTTTGTCTATGAATATTAAGATATGTAGCTGGAACAACAGTGGGAGCTATTAAGAGAGAACTTGTCAATTTTCTGCTGGGGTTAGCGGATCAGCTTGGCTGAGATGGCTATGTGAGCGAGCCTTCGGGCAAATGACAGACAGCCTCACAAATCAGGCACTGACCAGGTAAAGTTGGCCACAGGCCGTGCTGTGGGTGTAGAACTCTCAAAATCATCAACAGGTAAAAACTATGCAAGAAAAGCCACATCTAAGGATCATCTAATACTGTCATCAAACTTCTGAATGTTATTGTTGATAATTTGAGGCTTGGTTATAAGTATCTCTGGTGGCAGTTTGCACCATCTGCTAACGAAGACCTGACCAAAGGTAAACTATCAGCAAGACTATTCGCACACAATAAACACTTTGTGATAGAACATAAAAAAAATCAAAAGTTTATACATAATTCATAACAAATGTTAAAAAAATGTGTAGGTAGAAAATGGATTTTTACTAACCCTTCCGCCCAGCGGCCTTCTGGGTGAAGATGTGTGCTTGCTTCATAGACAAATGTATATCATATGTAACCAGTTCACCATAAATATAAATTGCTTAGTTAAAGATCATTTGGGTGCATTATCTGAACCGATATGTAACTAATTCGAAGTCGAAGTCGTAAATGCCAAAACTCTGTTAACCTTTGAAGTACAGATGGAAAAAAAACATCGAGACAAATGAGGGGATCTTCGACACGCCGCCGGCTTCCTGACCTCGTCGAGGCCACTAGTGTTAGTGGCTCTCAGGTTAACTCAGGTAATTAAACTTAAAAGACTTGCATGATAACTTGGTGTGAAATGCAACAGGTCCTTTTGCAACCTGTCATCTCGAATAATACATTGCATTTTGATGTCAAAATCCCCAACGGACAAAGTATAATATACTGTAAATTATAGCGGCTCACAAACATTCACGTTTTTTATGCCCGGGTCGCTAAGTTAGGTAAAGTTAGATTCGGGTGTTTTAGAACACTATGTCCATTGTGGCAACTCGAGAGGACGGGCTGCCTTGTGGAGCCCTGAGGGTCGCCCCCATGGAGGGTTTAACTGGCAGGGTGTTATGGCTTAAAAATAAGCCAGACTCAGCGGAGGAGTCAAGGTCTTGGCAAAGAAACATTTCCGTCAGGCATTTCTCGATTGGTTTGTTTTGGTTCACGTTGTGGAGTTGTTTTGGCTCGCTCTAGTGATGACGCCAGCGATTGAACGCCACGAATTTACACACGGGTTTGTTTACTTTTGAGCAATTAACAATAACCTGTAATTTTCATGCGCATGTGCGTTTTAAAGTGGAACTTACATTTTGTAAGTTCCAAGTCACACTACTTTATCTCAAGCTGCAGAGACTATCCTAGTCAGAGTGTCCTAGACTAGGGCACACTGTAGCATGTAAAGTTATACATTAGAAAATATTATATTGATGTACACGAAGTGTTAGTTCACAATGAGCTCCATGAACTAACAAATCCTTGTTACAATCACTAGTGCTGGTATTAGTACTGTATAGTTGGTAAGCCCTAGTAACGCAGGATCTAACCCTGGTCGGGACATAGAGGTCTTAGATATATATATACTCGCACATATCTATCTGTATCTATAAGAGAAACATGCATACGCGAGCGATGAGTCACAATAACGTAGCTGAAGTATGTTGACCAGACCACACACTAGAAGTTGAAGGGACGACGACGTTTCGGTCCGTC